CAAAATGTGTCAAGGTAGCTGGCCCTCTACATATGGAACTTGGAGGGGGCCTGGGGAGAACACGAGGAGGGGACTTTGGGGCATACCTGGTTCTTCTCTCTCCAAGAGTTCAGCATAAAGGGGTCTAGCTAGAGAGATGGCAAGAAAGATGTGGGTTAGACTTACACAAAAGCCTAAGAAAATGCCAGGGGAGACTGCTGTGGTAGTCTCAAGTCTCTCTAGAGAGAGCCCTGTACCATGGTTCGCTGGGGCCAAGGGCCATGGGCTCAGCTCCAGGGCACAGTTGTCATAAGCTGCTCAAGAGAATCCAGATCCCCCTCCGCAACCATGGCTGGAATCCCAGGCCTGGTCAGCCTGAAACACACCAGGTATGCATGCAAGCACCAAAGATCCAATGGGCTGGAGGATTGGAAGGAGATTGCATAGCGATCAGACCCTTTGGAGGGTACTCATCTCTCTCATTCTCACAAGCTCTATTATGAAAAGAAAAAAAAAGAACTTTTTAAAGGGCCAGAAGTGCTTGGCCCAGAAAGCAAGCTAGAATTCCCCAGCACTTCATGGGGAAGAGGAAGGCAGCTTTGAGCGGTAGCCATCATCAGCCTCAGGACAAGATCAGTGCTGGGTACAGCCTGGTTGCCTTACATCATGAGGATTCTCCTACTTCCCTCAGAGTAGCAACCTGTAGGTGGGAGAGGGATTGAAAACACACTCTTGGACCAGCTGGTGACATGGTGGTTAAGGTGCTGGATCCCCCATGGCAGTTCGAGTCCTGGACCTGGTGCCTTCCAAAATGTTGTCAGGCATGTGTGCGCACATGTCCAAAATCCTGAGAGAGGAGGAGAAAGGACTGTGGCGTGGCCATCCCTCTGGGGAAGGTACCTTCTCACGTCCTCCCTCTCTTTCTCTGTCTCTCTGGTGAGTGCACATGCCCTACAGCAAATAAAAAAGAAAAACACAAGTCCAAATAACATGAAATAATTTCTAAACATTTTTATTTCAAATCTCTTTTCACCCCTCCCAAAAAGACATGGGTCGGTACAGCAATCATAAAAAGGAGATACAAACACAAGAGTCAAATGTCTCCCGCACTGACACTTACAAAAAACCGGAAATTGTACACGGGGTTTCCAAACAGGATCTGCAGCAGCTACTAACGTCCCTTTACGAGAGTCAAACATGCCTATTAATACAGTATATACAGACACCCCATTCTGGGCTAATCTACAGGGACATCCCAACACCCACCCTCTCTATCCCCAGAAAAATACCAAAACACACCCAAAGTGCATTTGTTTTGTTTATATCAAAACATCTTTCCCTTTCCCCCTCCCACCTTAAGACCTCCCACCCCATTTAAGATTGGCCTGCAAGTTTATTTTAACCATTTAGTAATTTTTTATAGTTTATGAAAATAAATTATACAGCAACTATTTTAATAAATTAAGCACAAAAAGGGAGAGTAAAGAAGGAAAACCAAATGGGAAGACAAAAGCCAGGCCACACTTTGGCTTGGAGGAGTGCAGGGGTGGCTTGAAAGGACAGAAGTGGTTGCAGTGGGGTGTGGCTCCCCTCTGGTGAAGAACTGGCAACCACCTGAGCCCAGAACAACACCCCTCTTCATTGAGTTTCTTAAAAACAACCTAAAATGTACAGCAGTGGCTGGGCCACGGGGCAGCACCAGTTTGGGCTTTCCAACAACCCACCAGCTACCCACGGAGCGGTGCCTGGATCCTGCTTGTCCCTTGGTCAAGGTTCTGAGCCTAACCTGACCCCTGCTCAAAGAAGCACCAGGGATGGAGTTGTCAGAGCAGCCTTCCTGCTCCACCTGAGCTGGCAGGAGCTGAACACAAGCAGCTCCAGGCGGGGCTGTGTGGTCTGTGACTATCCGGGTTCCAATGAAGAGTGTCCCATTTTCCTTACACTCTACCTCCAGGAGCAACTACGATCGCAGTCCAGCTGCAACCAAATGTCCATGTCCTCCCCCATGGCTGGCTGCTTTTGCCTGCCCCTTGCCATCTCCTGGCGGTGCGGAGGAGGGGGTAGGAGGGGAAGGGAGCATTGCAGGTACCCTCTACAGATGAAACAGGAGTGGCATGCAGGAATGGCTTCCCAGGAGGTAGCTGGGAGCAGCAGTGGATGGGATGAAGAAGGGGTGGGGAAGGGGACCGGAAGAGACTGGGCAACACCTACCAGGAAGGTCAAGAAGCAATGAAAAGGACAAAGACGATGTGAAATCTGCACACACAGAAAGGTCTTTCTCTGGCAGATGAGTCAGCATTTTAAATAACGACTCATGACTCTTTCACTGCAGTACCTGAGTCCTAGCGCCTGTCCCTATGTTCCAACCCCAATCTCATTCCTCCCAAGACTTCTGCCCTCTCTCAAGGCCTCCTGTCATTCTGTGCTGAGCAAGAAGGCTACGATGTCCAAACAGAATATATCACGGGACCTGTAGGCTTGACCTTTGTGGCCCAGTAATCATGTAACTATCATGTGGGGGCAGGCGGCACACTTTTCTTTTTTTTTTCTTTTTCTTTTTTAATAAAAAAGGTTTTACTCCCCAGGAGCAAATAAATCATTTTGAACTACTGATAAACACTGCTGCAGTGAAAAAAAGATGGCTACATGTATGCAATAGCACAAATTCAGTGTAAGAACAGCTGTGTTGACGATTAGAGATAAAAATCACTTATCCACTTCCCCCTTTCCCACAAACCAAACCAAGAGGATTCCCATAGGGAAAATGTCTAACTCAAAAGCTCCTCCCCTATGGACAGGGGGCACGCCATTCTCTCAAAAATGGAAAACAAATGCCAGGTCTCCCCCAGTGGAGATGCTCTCAACACCCCAACTGATGGTGACTTCTGCAAATGAAGATACATGGACGTAAGGACACACACACACACACACACACACACACAGAGCCTCCTTCCAGCAGCTGTAGAATGTATCCCTATATCCCGGCACCTAGTCCTCTAACTTAAGGGCTCTAAAGCTAAGGGAGAGGCAGCAGGGAAGAGAAGGAACTAACCTAAGGAAAAACTCCTTTCCCCACTCCCTGAGGGGCCCAGAGGGCTTCAAACAGACCATGTTCTTCTGGGCCCCCCACCAGGGTGAAAGCTGACAAGGCTGGCCCCCAGGGCACTTTTGGCGTTCCATCTCTGGGACTGGGAGCTCCAGGGGTCCTCACTCCCGTCCCTTGCACAGTTCCTCTGCGTAGTCCAGGCCGAGCAGCTCTCTTCCATCCTTCCCAGCCTCCAAGATGCAGCAGAGAGGCCAGAGGAGACACCTGCAGTGTGCTCCTGCCAAGCCTTTCTCATGGGTAGGCTGAGCCATGTCCAGGGTCTGCTCCAGGGTGTCACACTCACTTTACACACACACAGGCAGGCAGGCAACCAGGCCCAGGGCATCACCAGCAGCCCCAACTCCTTTAAGAGCCAGTTGTCACCCACCTGTCTATTCCTGCTTCCCCACTCCTATGCTCACAAAACAGCAGAGGCACTTCAAGTAACAGCAGGTTGTAGCAGTAGTTGTCACAGCTTGTAGGGGTCCACAGTCTTCCTGAGCAGGCTCCAGGAGCTCAGTCATACAAAGCTGGGTTCCACATGCAGGGCCTGACATCACCCACCCCAACTTTAAAAGTCAACAATGGGGCCTAAATAACAGCCTCTTCCAGTGTGAAACTTGCAGATACAACTCCCATGAAGGGATGAGCTCCCCTGCACTGCACTGCGCAGCACTGACAGGGAGGGGAGGGATCACGCTGACCTGGCCCCATTCTTGCTCTCTGCTCAGGATACCCCGGGCTCAACACAAGGCCATGCACACCCACACAGGCAGCAACACCATGCCCAGGCAGACTGTCCTGCCTTACTCTGCTCTGTGGCCCCCTCTCAAGGAAGGATTAGGCCCTAACCTGGGCTTGAGGGAAGCACACACAGACATTGGAGACAGTGTACCCCTGCCCTCCCCAGGCCGGCAAGTGGTGGGATGGGGGGCGGGCATCACTCCTTCTCAGCTGGTTTGGTTTTGTACCTGAGTGTACGGATTCTCCAGGGGGAACCCCAGGGCCACTCTCACTTGGTCTGAGCAGATATTAGAGTCCTTGGTGCCAGGTAGGAGCCCTGCTGACTTCTGGCCCCACCTCACCATCAAAACCTGTGGCATGGACCTGTCTGCTGACTGGGTACTTTCAGTCTAGACCACTGTGCAGAAAAGGGACCTTAACATGCCATAACAGCCGTTCACTGCTCAGTATACACCATGCGAATTCTGCCTCCTTGCTTTTGCCATGCGTTATCGTTCATTGTCCCGCCCTCGCCTACAACCCCAAACCAAAGCCACAGAGTTTTCCCAACCATCTGGTCTCACCCACTCTAAACATCTTACAGGACAGTCCTTGATCCTCTGCCACAATGAGTCATTCTCTAATTGCTTCATGTGGGGCAGCCACCAAAAAGCTCCCTTAGACCAGGGATCATGTCTTCCACCTCTTATGTTTTTCAAAATACCTAGGCCAGAGCTAGCCAAAACACACTGAAAGATAACTTTAAAATTATGAGTGGCTGAGGACCAGCAGATGGTGTAATGGTTACATTTGTGGACTCCCACATAGTCGACTGCAGTTCAAGTTCCAGACCCAGCAGCTTAAAACTCACACCAGGAGTGTGTGCATGTGTGCCCAAAGTCCCAAGAGAATTGAGAAGGGACTGCAGTGTGGCCATACCCCTGAGGGGTGCTTTCTCATTTTCTGTCTCTCTCCTACAAGCGTGTACACCTTATAGCAAAAATCTCTCAAAAACAAACAAACAAACAAACAAACAGAAAAACAAAAACAAAAAAACCATGGGTGGCTGAAATGGAAGAAAAAAAAATCACAGTTATTTGCAAATCAGCCATTCAAGGATCTCAATGAATTTCAGGCTTTAAACTCTATAGTAGGGTGCTTCTTGCAGGCATTTTCTACAAGGCGGCAAGTTACCCACATCCTCAAGAGGTAAGATTCACAGGTGAAGCTGATTTCTGAGATCACAACCTTAGTTGGCAAAACTGCCACGGGAGTCATGGAGAAGACGGACCGCATGACAGATCAGGGAGGACTGTGTTTATGCTGCCAAGCTCATTTTGTGGGCCACCTCTTTAACTAGGTGATGATGCAAGTTTTCTCTCTCTACAGCTGCAAGGAGGAAGACGGTCCTCCTAGGCAGTCATTCAGTGCAGGACATAAGGCAGAGGCCAACATTTCCAGTTGAGGCAACCCTCTCAATTACCAGGACGTTGGGGCCTCACCCCAGTCGTCATGAAACCTCAGCCCCAAGAGTACTGTTTATCTGGTGAGATGGGGCAGATGACAGCATATGGAACCCAAGCTAGGCAGTCTCATGGAACACTTACTGCAAAAGAAAAGTAAAGACCCAAGAGCTCAAGTGCCTGAGAGCAAGCCTCCCCCCCGAGGAGCCCTACAGGTATGCAAACTCATAACACTATACGCTACGGCCAGCTACAGGAACAATTAAAGACAGTTGAAAGCACTGGAAATTTTTCTCCCCCACTCTTCCATGTCCACCCGAAGACAGGCGACTCTCTAATCAGCATCTGACAGACTTCCCAATGGAGGGCAAAAAGGGTTTGATGCTGGAATGGGTTGCTGGAATGAACACAGGAAAATTAAGATCCCCTTGCTACCTCCTATCCCAGAAGTGAGACAACCAGTGATAAACCCAAAAACAGGAGACGTGTTCTTCTTGCCTCCCTTCAGGAAATCCCATTAGGACCAAATTACAGAGCTTTCTCAGGGAAGAGCACCACTACAATAGTTTCACTTCTCACCTTCCTCCACATCCTCTCGCTAGCTGACAGATGGAGGTAACGCTGCCTCCTAAGTCGTGGGCGCGGTGTGCCATTATGAATCTGGAAGCACGCTCCATTAACCTTGGCAGCCCAGGACTGGAGTGCGGAACTGCTTGCTCAGGTGATGAGAAACGCTAGCGCCTGACAGCTGGCGGAAGCCATAGGAATGATGTTACCATGACCAGAGTGAAATGCACAGTTATCTCAAGGGGGGATTGGATGAGGGTGGAGGAAGACAGCCATTAACTTCAGGTCACAGGGCTAAGGGATTAAGAAAAACAGAACACACGGCTTCCATGAGATGCGATTCTCAAATCAGGCTCCTAAACCTTAGAGGGAAAGGACGTGGAGAGTCACTACTTCCCCCACAAAGGCCATTTGCCAGTTTGTGTTCAATAATCACCCTCCTTCCCTTCCTGATCCTCTCCTCCCCCTGGCACTGAGAAGCACTGTCCTTCCCTCAGAAACTTCCAGTCCTGTTGTGCACTTTGGCTCCTTCTCTCTTCATCAGGGTGTAGAGTCCAACTCTGCCTGTGGTGCCAGCTTGGCGACTGGCTCCCCTTCCTCCCTGCCGACCTATGGACCTGCTCAACCCTCGCACCACTCCCAACCCACCAGGCAGAAACCCCAGCTGCCTTCAAAATGAGTTTCCACATGAAATGCAAACATTACAAACAAAACTTCTGAACAAGAAACAGTGGTGAGACTACTTCCAGTTTTCTAGGGAGCTCATCCAGTTCCAGGATTCCACAGGGGTGGGTGGGAACGGCGGAGCCCCCCTCAGAGAGTATGGTTGTGTGCTTCTTCCAAGCCCCAGGACTACAGAGGGAACCAAAGTCTTTGCGCAGAGAATCCCAACCTCTCCTATTCTCTTGCTTTTCCTCACTCTTCTTTCACAGTAGCTTCATTTGGTTCTGCAAAACTGGAGCTTAGCAACCAAATGCCTAGGTAAAAAAGAAAGAGGTATTAAGATAGTTCAAGAGTATAGAACCAAAATGGAGCGAAAGAATAGCCTAGCTGTGAGAAGTAGAGAAGCACAGCTCAAAGGAGAACAGAGCTTAGATGGCCAAATGCTTCCACAAATACTATAGCTGGCTGGGGCCTTTCCCACAGTTGACAATCCCTAGTGTCACAACAAAAATCATCCCTGAGAGGTTGGTAAAAATCTTTGCCAATCCATGACTGCCCCTGATGCTCATGACAATTGGCTTCCCCACGGCAGTGCCAATCATACCATGCTCTTCCCATTACAAGCAGGGCCTTTCTACTCATTGGTCCTCTTGTCCACAATGCTCTGCTCTCAGACCCTCCCTGGCTTACTCCCTGATGTCACCTCTAGCTGAAATGTCACCTCCTCTCGAGGCCATCTCTGATCATCTAAACTTGAGTAGTACCCTACCACAGATCACTAAACTCTGTCTCATTTTATTTTCCTGATAGCGTGGACAGGTACCTGAAATTACTCACTTATTTACCTGTTTGAGGTGGGTCTTTCCCCACAAGCAGGGAAGCTCAGTGAAAATAGGGAATATGTTGTGCTCAGCATTCTAGTCCCAATTCATAGGTATCTGCTAAATGAAAACTCTTGAAGACCATCCCATTTTTTGGACCTCTCTGTTAAAAAGAGTCTCCCAAAGTTGGGCTGAAGTCTAACTCCTTGTAATAGACACCCACTATGGTCTTTGTCCTGCCCTGGAACCACACAGCATAATCTTAACTCTCTCCTTAAGAAAGCGCATCAAATACTTCTTTCAGCTGTCCCATACCACAACTGCTCTCTCCCATGGCCATCGCAGCTCTAGTCCTTTCATTTATTTCCATATGATGAAGTCTGGAGCCCTCTACCACCCTGAGGCCTTTCTCTGATTGCGCTCCTGTGTACGCAGACTCCTCTCAGGGTATTGAGCGCCCGCTGACTGACACCCGCTGACTGACGTGGCGCTCTAACTGAAAGGTCCTAACTACCCCTCAAGGGAGCGACTGGGGAGATGGCCCTCCCTAGATTCCCTTTACTAATCTTGCCTGCAAAGCCTCCGAATAGAGATATCCTCTTAGACATTAGAGCATTTAGATATTCTCTAAAAGTCACTTCCAATACATAAAATTTGCATATAATTGAAGATATAAGAGGATGTACATGCAATCCAGGATCTTTTTTTTTTTTTTTTTAATTTGCCAAAGGGCACGTGTGATCGCCAGAGAGAGAGAGAAGGAAAACAAGAATGTATCCTCCATGTGGAATGATCATGCCACACAATCCCTTCTCCTCCCTTTCCCCTTTTGGGATTTTGAGCATGTGTTTCTCAAGCCACTGGGTCAAGGACTCAAACCACAGTCAGCCATATGAGATCCAGCTGTCTTAACCACTGTGCCACCATCTGGCCCCAGTCCAGGATCCTTTAAAGTTAAACTCCACAGTCTGGGGCCAGCAGATGGTTTGGTGGTTAAGGTGCTGGACTCCCATATGGCTGACCATGGTTTGAGTCCTGGACCTAGCAGCTGGTTCTCTCTTCTCACTCTCTTTCATCTTTCCCTCTTAGTCTCTCTCTCTCTGGTCAAACTGAATAATAATAAGTAAATAAAATTAAATAACTCTTTTTAAAAAAATCAAATAAATAAATAAAGAAATAAAACTCCACAGCAGGGCCAGAAGATGATGTGGTGGTTAAGGTGCAGGACTGCCACATGGTCAACCCATGGTTCAAGTCCAAGACTTGGTGGCTTGGAATTTACACTGGGTGCAGGTGTGTGTGTGTCCAAAGTCCCAAGAGGAGAATGGAAGAGATGGGACTGTAGTGTGGCCACACCCCTGGGGGGTAAATTCTTAGTTTCTTCTCTCTGTTTCTCTCTGGCAAACACACATGCCCTATGACAGAAACCTAAAAAACAAACGAACCTCCACAATGTGCCACAGAAACCATTTCTCTTTTCTTTTTTGGAGAGTTTTTGCTATAGGGTACATGCGCTCACCAGAAAGACAGAGAGGGGCAGAGAGACAGAAAGTGAGAAAAGCCCCCCAAGCAGGTATGGCCACACCATAATCCTTTCTCCTCCATTCTCCTCTTGGGATTTGGTCACGCACACACATGCGCTGGTGTGAGTTTAAGCCACTGAGTCTGGGACTTGAACCGCAGTCGACTATGTGGGAGTCCACTGACATAGCCTTTATGCCATCTGCTGGTTCTCGGAGACCATTTCTTGACCCCTCTTCACTCTTTTTCCCTTGTTAATCCCTTATTAATTAGCCTGGTTCACATGCTTTCCCCCAATCTCATAGGACCAGAGACTTCTAGAGTAAAGAGGAGCTAGATACACTGTTAGGTTCACCTTAACCATGGCTAAAGAAAACCTGTGGGGACCAGCAGTTGGCATAATGGCTACATCGCTGGACTCTCATGTAGTTGATCACAGTTTGAGTCCTGGATCCAGTGGCTTAAACTCACGTCTGGCACATGTGCGTGCATGCCCAAGATCCCAAGAGAATGGAGAAGGAACTGTGGGGTGGCCAAGACTCAGGGGGGTGATTTCTCACTTTCTGACTCTGTCTTTCTGGCAAGCGCACGCACCCTATAACAAAACCTCTCCAAAAAAAATAAAAGAATACCTGTGGAATATAAGCCCTGGTAGTCCCTTTATCCCATTCGGAAGAAGCAAAGGGGGTGGAAAGGTTAAACCCTCCTTTTCACTGTAAGGTTATTGCTTCTTGTGGGTTTTCCCCCTTTAGTTCATTTTGTGAAAGGTCAGGACTAAGACACAGGAAAGGTTAGAAGAGAAGCAGTACTCAGTGCTTAGAAATGGCACTCTGCACTAAGAGGAAGGACAGGGTCACAAACCAGTATTCCAAGACAACTTATGGAAAAACAAATGATAGAACTTAGTATAACAATGGGAGAACAGCCTCTTAGATAAATGAATTCCTTAGCTGTTTCATCTATTCTCTTAAACTATTTGCTTTGCAGTGGCCCGAAGAGAACTCTAAACAGAAGAGCAAGCTGTTCTACTTCATCTCCATGTTCTGAGCTGTGAGACCTGGTGGAAGCCCTGCTGGAATGCATGCCTACTGCAATTAAAGGCACGTGTGCATCCCCTTGGAGCACGTGTTCTTCCTTTTCGGTTTCCTTTATATATGGTTTGTGCAACATCGGGGAAATGACCAAAGAAAGCATGGAGGAGGTCTCCCGCTTAGCTAGAGAAGCTTCGCTCCTGGCTACACTGTGAGTCCTCCACCTTACTCATACTCAGGCTAGCTTGCATGTTACCAGGCAGGTATTCAAGCCTTCTGGGTCTGCTTGCTTGTCTCCCAAACAGGGTACGTGCTCCGTGGGAACTCCGTTTTCAAATTGGTAACTCTAAGAGCACTTGCCGGGATTGGGGGTATACATGTGGGAAGGAGAGGTGCAGGGGCTGGTTACATGGTTCACTGCAATGATGACAGCTGTCCAGCACTGGATAGTGAGGCGAAGAGCACGTACCCTTGGTGGCAACCAGCAGGGGCCCCTCGCTACGTGGAGGGTTCCACTTCTTGCTTCTGTTTGGAAATGAGCTGCGCTTCCTTTAGAGACAGGTAGACCTCTTCCTGAGGATCATAGTAGTAGAACTTTCGGATGTAAGAGATCAGAGGTCTGTGGAAAACAAACAAGAAGGAAAACAATAGTTCTATCTCCCTCAGTCTTACCACTTCCATTCCTCTTGACAGGGACTGCAGAAGGGAGACTGACACACACGTACCCTGTTTGGGAGACAAGCAGGCAGACCCAGAAGGCTTAAAGAATGCCTGCCTAGTAACATGCAAGCTAGCTTGAGTATGACTGAGGTGGAGGACTCAAGTGTAGCTGAGTGAAGCTTCTCCCTCCTGGCTACAATGTGCCAGTTCTAGAGTGAAGTGCTCAGAGGGGGAGGATGTTGCCTATCAATATATTATGCCAGGCTCTGCCTGTGTAAGGAGTTTCCAGTCCTCACTGTTATTTGTAACTCGCCCCTCCCCCAACCCTGGGGACCCTCTTGTACTTAGGCAGTGGGAGATCTGGGATGTGATCTATCCGGACGAGCTGTCGGATCCGGAATCGGCAGAGGTGCTGAAGGGATTTGACACTGCTGAATCGGGACACTGGGTAGAGCAGCTGGACTGGCGTTGGTGGCAGTCCTTCAAGAACAAAACCAAGGGAGGCGTTCAGAGGGAACAGTACAGCAAACTGCAATGCTCCTTACGAAGAGAACCCAGGGAGGGTGGGGCTTCTTCACAGCCATACCTGTATCTGTGCAAAAGCCCTCCACAAAGGCTGCTGATTTCCAAGTGCAGAAGCACCACGACCATATCACACATCCAACAGAACTGCTCTCTGTAAGGGCCTCCCTAGCATCACTCTTTTTTCTTTCTTTTTTTTTTTTTTAAGAGAGATTTTTGCTATAGGGCACGTGTACTCACTAGAGAGACAGAAAGCAAGAAATCAGCCCCACCTGCCCCCCACGCCCCAGGGATGGCCACACCGCAATCCCTTCTCGGGATTTTGGGCACACACACACACACACATGTGCCTGGCATGAGTTTCAATCCACTGGATTCAGGACTCAAACCGTGGTCAACTACGTGGGAGTCCAGCAATGTAACCACTATGCCATCTGCTGGTCTCCTAGCGTCACTCTTACTAGCTGAGAGCTTTGCTCCTTGAAATAGCCCAGTGAGTAACACTAGGTCTCTAGACTTGGCTTAGAGCCAAATGGCCAATCCCAGACCTGACAGGATAGAAGAATGGAGAAAAAGGATTGCAGCATGACTGTGCCCCACTGAGGGGAGCTTGTGCTCTCTCTCTGTTTTTCTGCCGCCCTGGCAAGCACATACATCCAACTGGCAAAAGAAAATAAAGTTTTTATTTTAAAAGCCATTATCTTTCAGAGAAATATACTGAAATAATTACAAATGATAGCTAGGATTTGCTTCAAAATAAGGGCTGCACACAAATACTCATTAGTGCATTTTATGATGTTACATTTCTTTTTTTTTTTTTGTATGTTACATTTCAGTAAAGTAGACTTAAACAGGGCCAGTCCCATAGCCCTAGTGGCTAAGGGAGCCAGACCCCACATGGCTAACTGCAGCTGGAATTCTGGCCTGTCAGCTTGAAAATCACATCTGGTGTATGTGTATGCCTGCCCCAAATCCTTACAGGATGGAGAAATGGAGAAGGAATTGTGACATGATTACACCCCACTGAGGGGTGCTTTCTCCCTCTCTGGTGAATGCAAGTGCCCTGTAATAGCTAAAAAAAAAAAGTAGACTTAAACAAAAAATACTAGTATGTAATAAGAGAAGGAATGTGGACAGGGCAGGAGCAGCCGAGGGCTGACGGCTACTAGAGCGGGGTGACAGGTACAAGGAGTTACTACATTATTCTGCATCCTGAACAAACGAGCGTCAAAATCATGTCAGCCAAGAGTAAATGTGGTTTGTGAATATACATGAGGGAGTCTTATGGTAGTCAGGGCAAGGAGGGGAGCCCAGTCCATGGCATGACCTCAGTCCATTAAACAAGGACAGACCACTCACTGGGGGAAGCTCACTGACTATGGTCACAAACCCCCAGAAAAGAGTCCTGGATTGTTTTACAGCAAAGGAAGTCAGTTCTTGCCCGGGAGGACCTGGCAATCAGATAGGGAAGATTAATAAGAAAAGGCATCCCAAAAGCCACCAGGATATCATTCAACAAATACACCCTGAGGACCTCCCTTATGGGGCCACAAGACCTACTAAGACTTTCTGCACTTCCTATGTGCCCACATTTTAGAGACCCTGAGGAAAAAGGAACATTTGTTAAGCACAAGTGCTTACTCTATGCCAGGTGTTGTCTTAAATATTTTTCATGAATCATTTCTTGCATTTTTCAAAACAACCTTGTAAGGTAGGTACTATTCTGATTCCTAAGTTACAAATAAAGATACTGAGGCAGGAGAGTTCAGTAATATGCTTCAGATCTCACAGGACCAGGGGCAGCACTCAGGTGTTCTGACTCCAGGGCCCATAATTTTTTTCTTTTCTTTTTGAGAGAGATTTTTGCTATAGAGCAGATGCATTCACCAGAGAGACAGAAAGTGAAAAATCACCCCCTGGGGGGATGGCTACGTTGCAATCCCTTCTCCTCCAGTCTCTTCTTGGGATTTTGGGCACACACGCACGTGTACCCGGCATGAATTTTAATCCACTGAGTCTGGGACTCAAACCTAGGTTGACTACGTGGAAGTCCAGCGACATAACCATTATGCCATCTGCTGGGCCAATACTTTTTAACCCTTATGGTACATAGCAACAAGTCACAACCAGGGATGGACATGGCCCATGAGGACATGGAGACATAATATTGACTGTAATGACTTGGGGTAGGGTTAGTGCTACTAGCATCTGGGGGTAGAAACCAGGGATGCCACTCAGCTTCCTCTGCCGCACAGCACAGCTCCCACAATGAAGACTCATCCAGTCAAAAATGTCAGAAGGGCTGAACGAGAAGCCTGGGTGAATGGGGAAGACCATCACTGAACAAGTAATTATAAAGCTAAATGATGGTCATGAAACAGGAAGTGGCTTATTTCCTTAAAGAATCCAATTCAAAGTGTGATTTGTTTTTCCCCAAATATGGTATTTTTTCTTCATGCACATCAAACAGATGAAGATTCTCTCAACTAAAAAGGACATGAGTCTGGCTCTAGCAGCATCAGAGATTCTGAGCTAAACTCATCAATCACAGTCTCTTTTATGAGAAGACTCTCTGGTGTAAGGAGTTTCCTTTATGACTGTGAAATGGACAAGGCCAGACTGAAATGTGACCAATGGCTGAAGATCTGCTAGGACCATGCTCCACTATCACGACGAGAAGGATAAGAGGGAGACAAAGTTTGGGAGCCGCTGGTTTTACCAAGGGCTCTTCCCCCAGATATGAATTATTCCGCTGCTTCTAACTGATTTCCTTCTGCTTTTTATTTGCCACCATCCAGAACCTTCCCAGTAATCCTAGCTTTGCAATTCCTGTGATCTCTGGCATTCTTGGACACCAGCCTTGATACTTTTCTGGTGCATCCTGCTGTGGAATCTCAGAAACACCTGAGCTTGCCTCCTGGCTGTGCAATTCACCATACCTCAGTTTCTTAATCTGTGAAAAAAAAAATGGGAACAGGAGCCCAGCCATGGTGGCACAGCAGAGGCACAATGCTCTGTAATGCTGGAAGCCATAGGGTGGATCAGAATTCACTTCTTGGGTCAATCTGTACACACCCGGCACACATCCCCATGGCCCCATGATCCTGGCTAGCTGAGAAGACTAGGGGGAGGACTGTGGCATGAGACTCTGATGAGGGTGCCTCTCTCTCTCACTTTCTCTCTCTCATGAAAATAAATGGACACACAAGTAAACTTAAATAAAGAAAAGGAGGGGCTATAATATCTCCTCAGTGCTTTTTTTAAAAAAAGAATTCCATTTGTTGTTATTATTTTTTTAATTTGACCAGATAGAGAAAAAGAATGTGAGAAAGCAAGCTGCCGGCTCCAGGACTCAAACCACGGTCAGCTATGTGGGAATCCAGCACCTATAACCACCACACTACCTGCCAGCCCCTCCTCAGTGCTTTTTAAGGGCTAAATTAAATACTTAGCCCCTTGTAGGTGTTCAGTTATCATCATTTTGAAGTCTGAATACACAGACTTTTGACTCTACTGAGTTACTGCAGACTGACAGAGCTCAACTTAAATGCTAATAGCTACCTCTTCCTCACTCCAAACCTCTCTCCTAATTATTTAAGTCAAGCTCACTTATATCACTGTATAAGCTAAATTTATATAATGCCTAGACCTTTATGATAAGCAAAAAGGGGCAGTAAACAATGGTAAAGGAGAACACTAGCTTTGCCTTCTTTTTTTTTTTAAAGAATTATTTATTTAACTTTACTAGTATTATTATTGTTGTTATTATTAAATTTGCTTTAGGGCACACGCACAAGACAGAGAGAGAAAGAGAAAGAGAGAAAGCAAGCTGCCAGGTCTGGGACTCAAACCACAGTAGGCCAAGCAGGAGTCCAGTGCCTTAACATCAAACCACCTACTGGCCTCTGGGTTTGCCTTCTTGTTCCAATTGTCAAAAAAAGGTCACTTATAGTTAAGAGGCAAATAAAATTCTTCCTTGTCTTCTCAACTTTATTACAATTTTAAGTGCAAACATACATGCTACTTGTAGCATTCATCGTTGGTCCTAGAAAGACGCTCCCTACTAATAGACTTGATTATGCCTTCTTTATGAGGTTTCCACACTCAATTTTCAATTTGCTTCCAGCTACCTTTTCCCACGACTGAGTGGTATTACATAAAGCCTAGGATGTGGAGTTAGTGGGGCCCCAGACTGAATACTGGTTTTAACCTCAATCAGTTGAGTTACTTGCAGAGTAAGTACCTTTTGAGCCTCAGACTTAGTTTCCGCAATGGCAGAATGAAAGTAGTCTTACTTATTTTTTTTTCAAGAATGATTTAACTTTATTTATTCACTTATTTATTTTAATTTGAGAGAAACAGTTAGAGAGAGAGAGAGAGAAAGAAAATGAGAAAGCAAGCCGCCACATCCAGGACTAGAACCGTGGTTGGCCATATGGGAGTCCAGCACCCTTAACCACCACACCTCCTTGCCAGTCCCAGTCTTATTTTTTAACAGACTGACCTATTATATAACACTGAGGTTATTACAAGAAATTAGAGTTATTTAAGTAACTTGACCAAAGACCTGGCACATGATAGACACTCAATAAATTGTAGCAAACACCACAAGCTGTTATTAAGAATCTTGGTTAAACATTCTGCAGATGGGGCACAGGTGTGGAATAAAATGAGCTATATGGGAGGAGTCCAAGACTCCACCAAGCCCCTCAATACTCTAAGCAGAGAGATGCTCTAGAGTCCAGAACCCTCCTACATTTGCCCTGACCTGCCCGGAGCAGCACTGACTGCCCTGCTCTCCTCAACACAGCCATGCTTTCTAACAACAGAAGATGTGCTTTTGCTTCTGTCTTTCAGCCTGTCCCTTCCTGATGGCTATGAGACCTTTGAGGACAGAGATATGGCTTATTTCAATACTGAGTTACAAAATAAATGTTAAGGGACCAGCAGTTAGCAAAATGGCTATGTCTCTGGACTCCCACGTAGTCGACCGTGGTTCGAGTCCTGGACCCAGTGGCTTAAACTCACGCCAGGTGTGTGTGCGTGCGTGCCCAAGATCCTGAGAGGAGAATGGAGGAGAAGGGATTGTGGCCATCCCCCCTAGGGGGTGATTTCTCACTGTCTCTCTCTTTCTGGTGAGCGCACGCGCTCGCCAGACAGACAGAGAGACAGACATAGAGACAGAAAGCAAGAAATCACCCCCCAGGGGGGATGGTCACGCCACAATCCCTTCTCCTCCATTCTCCTCTCGGGATCTCGGGCACACACACACACGTGCACGGCGTGAGTTTTAAGCCACCGGGTCCACCCCGCGTCCGACTAGGTGGAAGCCCAGCAACATAGCCATTACGCTAACTGCTGGTTCCAAAAAAAAATGAATGTTAAATAAATACCCTGAAAGAGTCACAAACTTTCAGTTGCTAAGTCTTTTTTTTTTTTTTTTTTTTTTTTTTGGGGGGGGTTTTGAGCAGGAGGCACATCGGCTCCGCGACAGAAAGCGAGAAATCACCCCCAGGAGGTGACCATGAGGCATCTCTTCTCCATTCTCTTGGGATTTGGGGAATGCACACACACACTCAATATGAGTTTTTGTTGTTGTTTGTTTTGTGTTTTAAAATTATTTTCTTTTTTTGAGAGATTTTCACTGTAGGGCGCGTGCGCTCGCCAGACAGACAGAGACATAGAGACAGAAAGCGAGAAATCACCCCCCAGGGGGGATGGTCACGCCGCAATCCCTTCTCCTCCATTCTCCTCTCGGGATCTTGGGCACGCACGCACATGCGCCCGGCGTGAGTTTTAAGCCACCGGGTCCGGGACACGAACCGTGGTCGACTATGTGGGAGTCCAGCGACATAGCCATTACGCTAACTGCTGGTTCCCGGCTGAGTCAATTCTTATAAGAAAGGATTCTAACTTTACCCTTTAGCCAAGTCAACTGCACCAGACCAACTGTGTTGACAGCACTGAGGTAAATACTAAATGAAGTGAGAATTAATACAGTTCACACTCTGTCATGCCTTATTTAAATCACCAGGATTATAAAAAACATTCCTGTCACCTGGCTCGATCCTCTTCCTGATGTTGTGCCTAAGGCTTGCAATTCCTACTTTTTAGAGCAATTTTCAGCCCTCTGTTCAAGTATCTCAGTTTGATTCAATGAAAAAGCATCAAGTTCCTATTCTAGGATCTGTATGTGTCTTACAAATTCCCGCATTCATGTATTTGTCATTTTACGTTCCCCATCACTACAAAAGAAGACTGCCACACTCCCTGTACTAGAGATTACACAGATACCTCTCTATCTCAGTGGGTAGTTAAGACTACATAACTATACCACTGAGGCTGGGGGCTGCCCCATGCCCCATGGGGAGGAAGTCTCTGTATTCACAGGGTGGGGATGACGAGACACAACATAAGGTCTCTACTCTGGCAGCAAGTTCAGTACAACATGAGCGACTTCCTATCAAACCGCAGCTGAGGCCAGTCCCCCACACTCACTGCCTTCCTGCACCCTCTCTTCCCTGCCCTTCTCCGTTCCCAGGGAAATGACCTGAAGCTCTCAGTTTCACATGTAAGTGTAGAGGTGCCTGGAATGGGGACAAGGAAACACCTCTGACTGACAAATGCCCACACGATGCCCAGACATCAGCAGTGGAAGCAGTTTTCTCATTCACTGTCCTCAGAGAAGCAGAGTTTTTCAGTATGTCGAAGGATTCTTATACAAAGGCAGGGGACTAACAACCGAACTCTGCAGGAAG